ATTATGAATTAGATAAATTAATCATCAAATGCAATGATTCCACTGGTCTGCAGTCAAAGTAAAAACATCAAAAGATCCCGCTCCTAATGCATTCAATAATACGATCCCACGCTAACATTAGCACTGTCAGCAAACTTCTCAGAAACATGCACATCTAACAGCAAATTAATCAAGTTTGGCATGATTCATGCATGCAGATTGGAAAAACTCCTTCAGTGAGTCATTTAAAAGAGGCATTGGATTTGTCAGCCAAGGTAGGTTGGCAGGTTTTACTTTTTGTTTCATTCTGTTCTTCAAACTCTGAAATAGAATCGCTGGCCTCAGCAAGATCTCTAGATGGAAGGAAGGCTTGAAAGCAACGTTCTGAACAAAGAACAAGAAAGGGAAACAACAGTGATGCGTAATTTTATTATCTATCGATTCATGTCATACCCATCAACATATATTATGACTAGCACTGGACCAGAAGCTGGAATTTGAAGCCACAATGAGCGAKGACATCCTGGTGGCTGGTTGCCAAATTCTAGCTTAATATTCTGGGTTTTGTCCTAACTCAGTTTGAGTTACTGTAAAATAAGCCCAGAGATTAGGCAAGCATATGTTAAAAAACACATTTTAAAATGTTTAAAAGGCTATAAGTTTAAAAATTTGACATCCTTTTCAAATTAAGGAGTTCAAAGAAACTATTTTATTTAATAACTTTCTGTATGAAATTCAGCTTTTCTTTTTACTCTATTCAGACTCCTTTATGGATCCATTCAATTGTCTCCAGAATAAGGTAGAAATGGTCAAAAAAGCAACAAGCATTTGATGTTTTGTGACTTGGATGGTCGTTAAATTCAATAATTTAACTAATTTTAAGGAGCTTTGAATGGATGTGGTCAGGAAACAACTCTGTGTGATTGTGTTATCCCTTTSTGGCTGCAGACAGAAAGAAGACCAGTGGAGCTAATGCAAAGTGTTTGAACAGCAGGAGGCAGAGATGTTGAAGTAGGTGCCACAGGGAATGTATTAAAAAGGCTGTTGTTCATAAAGCACACCTGAGCCATGCATTCGGTGGGCTGACTGGATGTCTCAGGGGGTCAGCGGGCAGCTGTTTCTACCTAGTTCAGTCCTGCCACACTGGCCTACCTGTAGCTCTGCAGCAGTTTGTGTTCCCTTTGCTCTCGGTGGCGTGTTCTCCAGGGAAATCATCACACCGCTGGCTCTTCGCCCGTTCAACAGCCTCTCATTCTGCATTCGAGTTAGTGTATGTGCGTGAGCACGTGCGTTTATGAGAGCAGACGCTGGTCAGGTCCGCATTCCCTGTCCGCAAACAAGCTAATGATACTTAAATTGAAAGAAAATTGAAAATGGGGATTTTCAATAAACGTCCAGGCTTTTCTACCTGCCAGGTCAATAATTCAATGCATGCACGAGAGATCCATCAGTTTCAGGCTGTTTCTCAATATAAAGTCATTACATCCATTAGTTCACCAGATTTTTGCATTTGGGGTTTCTGTTTCTCAAACCCACTGAGGTGTTTTATCATGTTCAGGTTCTCACGTCTGGATTAGGCTCTGACTGGTTTTATCTGTACATCTCTTGTAACAACCAGGATTTCGAGCAGACAAACACTGTGTTTCAAAGCCTGCCTATTGTTGTGTCTGGATTACAATTTATCACTCAGCTCCACAAGCACTCGTACAGAGCAGCTCAACAGAGGAGGTTTGTGCTCCTCTATTGTGCTGGGAAGCAGGCRAGGGAAGTGACATTTTGCAGTTAGATGAGGGTTGTTGCTTACTTCAGCTTTGAGATTCTCTTMTTAAGCACTATAAAGTATAAATCATTGTCTGTCTGTCTTTTGTTGTTATACTTGATAGTATTTGCATACTTTTTTAGGGAAATAATTATAATTTGTGCTATTTTTACTTGGTTTATTATATAAAACGATTGATACAAGATCGCTACACTGCAAAAACTGTCCATCTTACCAAGTTTTAAAATCTTATATCAGCCAAAAAGTCTTTTTGATCTTGTTTTGAGACTGATTTACTAAACAAGAACTGATTGTGTAAGAATAATAATCTTGTTTTCAGAATGTGTAAGATTATTTGTCTTGTTAGCCTGAAAATTTGACTCAAATTAAGTCAAACATTTCTGCCAATGGAGTAAGAAAATTTTACCTGGTAAGACTTCTTGAAATAAGAAAAAAATGGAGTGAAATCAAGTATTTTAATAATCTTACCAAGTAAAAWTTTCTTACTCCATTGGCAGAAAGTTTTGACTTAATTTGAGTCAAATTTTCAGACTAACAAGACAAATAATCTTACACATTCTGAAAACAAGATTATTATTCTTAAACAATCGATTCTTGTTTAGTTAATCGGTTTCAAAACAAGATCAAAAAGACTTTTTGGCTGGATATAAGATTTTAAAACTTGGTAAGATGGACATTTTTTGCAGTGTAGAGCTTCTTTGAGGGGAAAAAAACACAATTTGTGGCTCCTTGATCGCAACCAATTTTATTTTATTTTTTAAAATAGTTTAAGTTAATACTTTTCAGTATATTCCAAATGTTTAAACTAGCTATATAGAAAATATTTTAATTTACTTAGTTTACCTGGCACAGATCCGAGTCAGAGTCAAACTTACTCATCTAAAATAGTCACATTTTCTTAAAGGCCATTTTAGTTCACTATAATAATCCACAGTTTTTAAATAAATGCACACAGGTTTTCCTTTGATAGCCTACCTGTTATGTTACAAACTGACCTCAACCTGCTTACTGCAGCAGCAGCAGTTTTGGGTGAAACAACAAAGTGCTGAGCGTAGGAATACCTGTCTGCCTGCAACACCTGACTGCTGCTGTATAGTACACACCAAGTCCCTGAAGGACCTGCCAATGGAAACTCGGTCGTTTAATTACAGCATTGTTAGTGGACAATGCCAAATAGCATCTAATGTTTGCTTTATTTCCAGTCATTTGACTTTTTCCATTGTTGAACAAATGCATATGGTAGTTAGCAGCCAGTTTATAATTTTGCTTATAAATATTTAATTTAAGGACATACTAACCATCAGTATGAGGACAACATACTGTATTGTGCCTTCATTTTCTTAYTTGATAAGTTTTGTTTGTCCATGTGACTTTCCAAGCTCATTTCTAAGCACTTTTTTTAAATTTTGGGCACAGACAGTAGCATTATTTGTCTGTTTTACATTTTGTTATTGATTAATCATTTACTTTTTAAATCAACTGAATAAATACAGCTCAGTGACATTTAACGATAGCCCGGAGATTTGAAACACTAAAAGCAAATATTGCTCAGGCAATAAAAAAATGCAGTTGTATTGATGGAAACCTGTTCAGGCCTTGTGGATTCAAAAAAAAAGGAAGAAAAAAAAAGGAAGAAAAAAACATCATTAGGACCCTTGACAGCAGAAGATGAAAAACCCTCGCTGTCACACACTGAAGGGCACAGTCACAGTGAGTCACTGTCTGATTTACATATTGCAGACAAAAAGCAGAGTGTGTATATCATTGTCATATAGTGAGGGGTGTGATGGAGATGAATAAGGCCGGCTCTCGGTTTCTCCCCGAAGCAGCCTGTGGAGGCCGAGACGTGGATCTTTGATTAAAGCACAGCGAGGCTGAAGGCTCAGGAGTTTCCTGCTGTGAGGATTTGGTTGTAGAAGAGGTGGTTGAGTCGGTTAATTTCAACCTTGTGCCAGACAGAGATGAAACCTTTGACAGTATATATTACAGAGCAAGTGTCTTATTGTTGGGAATTAAAGCCAACGGGACCCGGTTTATGAGGTCGACCTTGTTGGATCTGTGACCTAAAGATGTGTGGCCCACCTACACAAGAAATCATGGTGGCACGTGACCTATTTTTCACAAGCACCGAAGAACAAATTACAGCTAAACATACTAGAAAAAAAATTAGAATATTCAGCAGCATATTCATTTCATGGAGTCTAAATGTGCCTGCAGTTTTGTGGAAAGTGTTTGCTGAAAATGAGTCCCATACCTTTAAAATGTGAGCTGTTTGAGGATAATTCACAACCACCATCTTTGCTCACATGAATCATAGCTAGTTTGCTTTTTATCCCTCGTGTTTGTCTTTATTTGAACACAGAGGAGCTGCAGGGAGGGCTGCGTTTTTCTGTAATGATGCACTTTCACTTGGTAAAATGGGTCAAGGCTGGATACGGGCATGATTACCCATCTTTGACCAAGCCGTCCTTGCACAGGAGATGAATATTACGCTGTTATGTGCGAGGTCATCGTATCTGTCCTTCAGACTGAGTGTACGCCTTCACAGAGGGGCAGATGTACACGTGCAACAGGACAGAATGATATAATGCTGTATATAGAACAAGACGGAAGAAGACGGGGAAGAAAGACTCACTCATCAATAGAAAATAATACAGAATGCATCTATAGCATCAAACTATTAGAAGTTGATGGAGTCTGAGGATACAAAGTTAATTTCTATGTACTTGCTGCTCCACAGCAATGATAAAACTGCAAAAACCCAACCAGAACAAATCTATTACAACAATCCAACAGCAGAAAGAATTACAGTGATTCAATCATTGAGTCGATTGGTCCCACAGTTACCCTCTGATCTCAAAGATTTTTTATTTCAGACGTCGATAAACACAAAAGCATTTTTCCCCCAGTGGTACGAAGACCATCTGGGTTGTGTTTTTGTTGTGTTGTTATGGTTGTTTTCAGTTCTATGGAAAAAAAAGAAAGACAATCAAATTAAAGCAGATCTGCACACTCTGCTTCTCAGCATGTATGAGTGCTATATCAGTTTTCACCGAGTCACGTTTTTGCCAAAACGTAGCAGGAGTCCCTCAGTTTGTGTTGCACATCTGGCAACAGTCACCAAGTTAAAAGCTCTTTTTTTAGCTTTCTGAAAATCACAAAAGTTGTGAAGCCTCAATTTGTTCAAGGATATATAATGATAAAAATGAAAACTTTTTTTTGGTACTGTTTTCTTCCTTAGGCCCCTCAGCTTGGCACTCTCATGGGCGTCTATATGCCATGCATCCAGAACATCTTCGGAGTGATCCTTTTCCTCAGGATGACCTGGTTGGTGGGAATCGGAGGCGTCATTGGGACTTTCATCATCGTCTTCATGTGTTGTGCCACAGTGAGTATTTTTATCTACTTTTATTGGGACCTCTAGTTTGTCCTGACGCTCAAAATTTCATACAGTCCTGTAAAAACAAGTTTGTTGAAATGTTACAGCTTTCCAGAGAGCAATAAAGATTCAGAAGCTGGTTCAGCAGAATCTACTGGAGAATTTTAGATAGTATGAATATATTTATCTGACTGTAGTTATCACTTCTATTAATCTTTTTGGATCAGACAACCATTGAGGAACAAAAAAACAGCATTTTGAATTTAGAATCTGATGCAACACCTTTCATCCAATATTTAAATCACTAAACTGAATAAAATTTCTGCACTTGTTAAATCTGAAAGGATTGTTTTAATTTAAGTTGTTATCCAGACAGCTGGAATGACTTTGGTAATCTGCAGTGGTGGGCAGCGTTAATTCAAAGGTTAGTTCCACAAATTTTAAACCACTAATTATTTTCTTTAGTTCCGCATGTTCCAACGCACACGTCACAAATATTTTAGCAGAACCTAAATAGATCCACAACATTGGCTCAGTTCACCAGATTATATATATTTCCAGTAATAACATGAACCATTCTTGCATAACGCTGCCATTTTGTGGCAGAACAGGTTGCTTTCAACCCAATTTACATCTTCTCGTGGTTTCAGGAAGTCATTTGTACAAATAGACGTTTGATTTATGGTGTTAAGTTAAAATAAAAAGTTGTTGTGGACTGCAAGTTTTGCTGCTTCTTGGTCATTTATTTCTCTTATGTTTATGGCTTCAGTAAGAAAGCATATATTAGTCATTTTAAACTGTTTCTTGGAGAGCTGAAGCGATGCATTCTGGGTAAAGGACCAAGTGGAACCCGTCATTTCAAAATAAGAGCCTGAATTTAAACTGTGCTGTGTGTTGCTTGCTTCAATACGACATGACGTGAGACAACGGGTTGATGGATGAAGATTCAGCATGTCATAAATTATTAATGCCTCCCTCTACCCTCTCAAAGCTAAAATAAGTATATAAGCAACAATAAATATGCGTGGATTTTTGGGGAAACTTTTATTTTTTTGTTAACGGTGGGTTCTAGAAAAAAAGACGTGAAAATCATTTGAATAGGAATAAACCAGCTGTAGCTCTTTTAACAACTGGCCTTAGACCAAAAACATCATTTTAAATAAATAAATAACATGAATTAAAAGCTGCTGCTGCCTTTTCTCAAGCATGTCCCTCGCTGTGTGTGTGTGTGTGTGTGTGTGTGTGTGTGTGTGTGTGTGTGTGTGTGTGT